TATCTAATTGAGGGGGTTGGGGCGTGGGGGGGGGGCGTACTCATTTGTTGCTTGCCGTAGTCATTTGACCATTGACCACGCCTCCCTTTCGAGACGGAGCACCGTTCCTACACCTACTAGAGACACCACCAACATTTGGGAGCTCTTTACGTTTCTGCCACAAACTCCATAAAAATTTCTTGCACATCTTATCCCCGTCCTCTAGGGCCTCTTGTGCCCACGTGGGCGTGGGGGGGTGGGGGTTGGCGTAGAATTGCTGGAAAAGGTACCGAGATATCTTTGAGCGTGCGTGCGTACATCACTGCGAGGGTGTCATCTTCATCTGTAGGCTTAGTTTTGGACCAAAGAACAAACAAAAAGGAAAGCAGTCAAAAACCGACGACGACGACAACAACCAAACAGCAACCAACACCGACAACAACCAGGAAAACAGAGCCACCCAGTCCTCTCCCCCCACTTCCTCGTAGGCGTTTTCCTTCCCCCTCCCCCTGTCCCGCCCTCCGCAGGCCCCCTGAAAAACGACACGGTGATAGAACCCACCTCGCTACCAGCCCCGAGGGCAGAGCCTCCTGAAGCTTCTCCACCTTCCGCATGGATGTGTCGGAGCTGAGCGTCAGCAAGGACGGGCAGCGAGCCACAGCGGCCACAAGGTCGTCGCTGGCATCTGTACCGTTGGCCTGTTGCTTGAGTGGGGTAGGTCGAGATTGGGAATGGAGGGGGGAGAGAGAAAGTCAGACCGCCAAAAAACAATTTACAACAATACATCACCTTTCCGGAGCATCAGATGTGCGAATTCCTGAACATTTGGGTAACTACCCCTGTCACTTCGCGATGTAGTGTGGGAGAAGCATAAAAGAAAAGGAGAAAACAATGGAGTTTAAAAGTACCACCACATAGCGGCAAGCTCGTTTCAAAAATGTCTTGTTCCTCAACGCCCACCCCACTACTCGCCCACGTTCTGGTCAACAAACAGCAGCAGCTTAAACGAACCAGCAAACACGTGGAAAGAAGCGCCTATTTAATCGCGGTACCCCTCCCACCATGTTAGACGTTTCCTGCTGCCCCCTCCCCGGCTGCTGCCCCCTCCGCTGCTGCGGGGGCAGCGACTGGTCCATCATCAGCTCCCTCAGCCTGGAGACCTTCAGGGAGACGTTTCGGCGGACGTCGAAGCCCAAGAGGTGCGGCCGAGAGCCCACGAGTGCGAGGCCGTCCATCCCGGGGAGCAGCGCCTCCAGCCCTTCGATCTTCGCCCGCACCTTTTTTTCGTCGTTTTCGTGTGTGTTGAGAGTTGGTTTGAGGTATGATGTAGGGTGTGGCGCCGAGGGAGGGGGAGGGGGAGGGGGGAGGGGAGGCTGCACGCTTGTAGTCTTCACCGACAACCGCACGATCGGATACTTGATAGACAGAATCGCCGCCACCGACGCCACCGACGCCGCCGCTGCTACCGCAGTTGCCGGCATTTGAGGAAATATTACGAGGACGTAGCCCACAACCTCTTAGATTTCTATTTGGACATGTCCACACCATCCAGGTCACGGGCCGGGCGCTCAGCCGCTTCTGTTCAAGACCACGCTCGGTGTGTGTGCAGCCAAGTTCGTGTGTGTCCATCGAGTACAACCCCAGCCAAAGAAACATGTGTCCAGGCGGGCACTACAGATTCAAAGATGGTCTACCGCCCTTCCGTAGCGAGTGCAACACGCAAGAGAGGCCGAGCAATTTGATTCAGCGTGCCCAACAGGCACTACTACTACGCGCTTGTTGTCGTTGTCTCAGCCAGCTGTCTCTCTCTCTCTGTCTCTCTCTCTCTCTCTCCGTCTATCATCTCTCACCGTGTGCGGTTCCATCGTCAGGATCTGCGGGAAACCGTTCGCGAACCTCGCCAATCTCCTTACGCCCGCCGGCCGTCCCCCTCCTCCTCCTCCTCCTCCTCCTCCTCCTCCTCCTCCTCCTCCTATTCCTCCTCCATTGCCGATGTCGTCGTCGCGATTGCCGCCACCACTCCGGCCGCTTCCACTTCCACTATCTATACTGACATCACTGCTGTTACTGGGTTCCAGGGTGATCCTCATCTGTGTTTTTTCCCCAGGCGGCAGTAAAAAAACAAGCAGGAACAAACATGGCTGTATCACCATTCTTGCGGACTATAACCCAAGCGCCGTCGACGACTACCCCCACCCCCTTGGGCGGTCCATCCGCGGCAGACTGGCGGGAGAACGGGGGGCGGCAGACTGGCTATCGGGCAAGCCTACCCCCCGCCGGCTTCTGGCAAGAGACCAGAAAATCAGCACACGCGGCAGCAGCAGCATTGCAAAGTACCATACAACACTGGCGGAATCTTGACGACTTGCTAGATGCAAGAAAGTATGGCTTCTGACTAAAAACAAGAAGATCAGCATACACTTGCAACACCAGTAGCATTGCACAGACAGTGCCAAGGTTGGCGGTGTTTTGTTGCTCACCCTTTCCAACTCGGGCGATGGCGTGAGGCGCAGCACCGATCGAAGCTGCGCCAGGCGCTTCTCCACCACGTCCAAAGGCTGGACCAGCAGCTGCGGGGCAGACCGCAGGACACGGTCCATCCTGCACGGGCAGCGCGACAGGGCCAATTCTTGTTGAGAGAAAAAGTGAAACCGCCCTACAAGCTGCGACGAGAGTTGCCTTGTTACCTCATGCTTGAAGAAACAACACACTTTTTGCGCTTTCCCGGGAAATAGTGAGCCTGCAACTACCCCACGGAAAAACTTCTTCCAAAGGGAGGGTGCGGCAAGAGGACCTGCTCCTGCACGGAGGGTCGCAAACGGTTTTCCAGCATGAACACCCGCTAGACCACGAGGTATGTAGACACGAGGCCTGTCTCTCGCTCTCTCTATATGGCGCGCCGGTGTCCTCCTGCATCTCTCTCGCCTGCCTGCCTGCCTGCCTCTGTCGGTGGCCTCGGAGAAAAAAAAACGCTTGGGGCATATATACAAAGACCACAAGTGGAAATCCCATATATGGCATGCGGATACTGCACAGACTGGGTGCAACACACCGCACCTCAAGCCTGGCACCAGCCTTTGAATGTTGGCGAGCGCCTCCGACACTTTCTCGGTTCTGTGGCGGAGAAGGAGCGGCGTCTGGTTCACTATTGCCTGCAAATACAAGACAAGAAAACCGAACAGCAGCAGCAGCAGCAGCAGCAGCAGCAGCAGCAGCAGCGTTAATTGGTGTTTGCACCCTCCCGAGCTCTTATGGCAACTCCTATATATGCTCTGGGGGGGGGGATCAAGCATAAAATTGGCCTGGTCACACCAAGCATTAAGCTCCGCCAAAACAACAACAACAACAACAACAACAACCCGGTTCCTTGCCCCCCGAGAAACAGACCCGCCCCCACCTGCAAGTCAGCGTCGGGCGGAAAGAGGTCCGCGAGGCCCTCCAGCCGCGACTGCAGCGCCGACGACTCGATCGCCAGGAGGGGCGCCGCCATCCTCAGCCGAGCGCTCCAGGAGCCCCGGAGGCTCGGCAGCATGTCGAGAAGGAACCGCAGGCGGCCGCTGAGCTCGGGCTCCGCCCGCAGGAGGAGGAGCCTCGGTTCGCTGGAGACGAGCTGGTAGGCGTGCAGCCGCGCGCCTTCTCCTCCTTGTTCTCTGGCCGCAGCCGCCGCCGCTGCCGCCACCACCGCCGCTGATTCCTCCGCCGCTACCGCCGCTCCCCCCACCCCCGCCGCCCCCGTTTCCGCTGCCACAGCGGCTGCGGCAGAGGAGCTCGACGGTGGTCGCGACTTGCCTTCCTGTACGCCACCTCCAGCCCCCCGGCTTTCATAGTAGCCGCCATCGATACCGCCACTGCCACTATCTGGCAACAGCACTGCTGTTGCTCTTGCTGTTGTCTGTGCCCCTTGGCGGCTACGGTCATCGTCCTGCAGCTCCTTACTGCTGCCACCCCTACTTCTACTGCTCCTCCCACTGCTACTACTACCCCCAACGTGTCTCATCTCGGTAGCCTTGGTCGGCGATGATGACCAGGACGGTGATCGCCCACCGCGAGTCACCCCAGAGGAGACTAAACTATCAGTTTCTGCTGCTGCTGCTGCTGCTGCTGCTGCTGGCTCGCCTGCTGTAGCGTGCCATGACCCTGCAGCCTCCAGCAGGTCTGCGATGGCCTGCCGGAAGGTGCGGTTGGTACAACGGCATTCGTTCGTGTTCGTGCTCTCAATCTGAGGAAGGGAAACAGAAGCACTGCCAAGCATGTGTGCCCAGCAAATATACTCCCCGGCGCGCCCTCAATCTTTCCTGAACTTGCCAACGCCAACATGGGTCATTCATGAACACACCTACCTTCCAGACAGCAGCAGTGTAATGGGTTCATCGGTGTACTACCATCGCCCGCTCGTCCATCATCACCGATTCTCACGTTCTCAATAGCTGCACCTCCGCCCTTACTAGCTGCAGCCAGACAATTGCACACCATGGCCAAATATTGCGGCCGCCTTCACTTGCTCCTGCCCTTACCTGCATTCTGGCGGCGAGGACGCCGATGTCCGTCACGAGCTCGGGGTCTCTGCGCATCACCGGCAGCACCTTGCGGACCTCCCACTGGGACAGCCCCCTCTCCATGAGAAACATGCGCACATCGTTGTCGCGCTTCCGATCCTGCCTCTTCTTGGCGTTTCTCTTCTCCTCCTCCTCCTCCTCCTCCTCCTCCTCCTCCTCGAGGTCGACACTGTTCCTACACGTGGTAGCCGCAGCCGTAGCCGTGGAAGTCGTGGTACCTCTCCCTCTTGGTGATGGTGTGGTCCATGGTCGAGCTGCTCTCGCGTTGTCGACGTTGCCGCCCGTGCTCCTCGGTAGTGGTTCAAGTACGTCTGCCGCTGCCGCTGCTGCTGCTGTTGCTGACCCCGGCGCAGTGCCGGCGGCACGATCGATAAACCTGACCCTGCTGCTGCTGCTCGACCCCCTGCTGTTTTCTTGGTTGTCGGACGGCGGTGGTATGAGAGCGGACACAGCGGTCGTAGTCGCAGGAGCGGCAGCACCCCCGCCGGTGGTACCTCCGCTGCTTGTGGTAGTACTCAGAACGGCCTCTCTCCTGCGATTGCGCTGCTTGTTTCGTCGTCTCACCTCGCGGTGGGCCGCTGCTCTGGCAGCAGCAGCAGCAGCATCCCTGGTATCGCTCCTCTTCCCTCTGCTTTTGCTCCTGCTGCTGGTGCCCGCTGTGGTGCTGCCCGTGCATGCGGGTGCAGATGAGGCAGCAGCAGATAGGCCTCGATTGTTGTGGTAGTGAAAAGAGAGGGCACCTGCGCCCTGTACGGAGAGAGTCGCGAGCACGAAGGCTGCGGCTGCGGTCGCTACAGCTGAGCCCGTCACTCCGCCGCTGGGTTGGCGGCTCCACGGCCTCGCTCGCTTGCTCCCCATTGCAACAACAACCTGTCCCGCTCTCTTGAGAGTAAAGTACCTGCTGCGTGCGTGGTGGGCGACACACGGCTGTGATTCATGTCACCTGTGCCCACCCCCTGTACATGATACAATGAACTCACGGAGCCCCTCTGCAAGCCACCTGCTCTGCGCTCTCACTCACTGCTGCTGTGTTGCAGACTGCTTGACCAGCGCACGCAGGACCATGATGCAGTGGCCAGAGCTGTGCGTCAGCGTAGTGTTGGCTCTCTCGTTGAGCCCAGCTGCGGGTTTCCTAACGTCCAATTCGTTCCTCTCTCGGCCCCAGCAGCCGACACATTCGTCGGCAGCGGCAGCGGCAGCAGCAGCTCACAGCCGTCGCCCGGCCCCTCGATTGCTGCTCTCTCGGCTACCAAGCGCCGTACTACTTCGACCACGACGGTCCCGCATCTACAGCCTATCTGCTGATTCAGCAGCGGGATCACCAGCTAGAGCAGCAGGGTTCTCCTCAGCACAATCCCTGGAGGGGGGTGTTGGTCAGCGACGAAGGCTGGCGGGTTCAAACACGGCGTTAGAGCTAGCAGCCAGCAGAGGCAGCAACGGGGTCGGTGAAGAGGGGGGCAGCGGGGGGGCGGACAGCGACAAGGGTGGCGGGTGGCGGCAGCGCATGGTCCGGACCATCGTGTTCGTGGTCCTGAGAATACGGGCAGTGGCGGCTGGGCTGGGGGCTATGCTTGGGCTGGGTCGATGGACCAAGGTGGGCCTCGCTGTGTGGGGCGCATACTTGCATACACAGCTAAAGATATGTGTTCTGTGTGTCTGTCTGCGAGAAGGAGTCAATTGATGGCAAGCCCCAGCAACGATTCGTGCCTACATAGTCGTGTCAGATGAAACCATCACTGTTTTCTGGCGCGATAGTTGATACGACAGTTTCCATATCACGAGCAGTTGACGCTGGGTGGGACCGCGACGGGTCGCACATCCAAGATACCACCCCCCCCCCTTGATCATGTTTCAAAGATGCTCGATTGCTCGGTAGCAACGCCAGCAGTGCCCAGGCCTTTCCAAAACCGTCGTTTGATTGTGGCATCCTCTTTGTCGTGGAGAAGTTGAGCCCTGAGTATCGACCCCCTGGGGATGGATGTGGAATCTTTAATGTACCACCACCTAGATACGGCGGTAGTTCTCTCGCCTGCTATCCCGTGATGTTGTTGCTTGAAAACGTGTCCGTTGCCGAAGAGAGGTGACTCGCTCGTGCCCGGCGCGGCTACTGCTTTTGCACGTGAGCTGTGTAGGGTGCTGACGTATTCATCATCGTCGTTTGGTACGTTGTACAGTGGTGCTTTGAGCAGCGCAAGGTCTTCCATTATCTCGTCAGTTGCCTCCCCTTCGTTGCCCGTACGGGACTACTCATGTCTGGTGGTAACATGTGTACATACATTTGGCGAAGCTGGCACGGTCTACGCACCCACTGGCTTTGCGCGGACAGCGTAGGACGCCGAGAACCGATCGCAGCCCCAAACATGTGTTTTTGAAAGGACCCCACATGATGAGAACCACTCCGCTCATCCCCCGACGCAATTGCTCTTGCCGTCTCACCCCCTGCCCCGCCGACCGCACACTCTAGAAGAGTTCTTCCTCGAACCAATCGCTGTTTAGCTCCGCCGGCGGCAAGAAGAAGGCGGCGGCTGGGAAGTCGCGGGGTCGGCGCGCGACAGCGTTCTCGCGGCTGTTCAGGAAGAGGACCGCCACGCTGCTGGTGGTGATGCTCTTCGTGCTGGCGATGGGCTTCCGTTCTGCGGGCACGCCTGCCGTCACCGAGGTGGGTACATACTTTTGTGTTTCGTTCACCTTTACGAGGGCAGCAGTGGTGCCCGACCTGGGGTGTGTGCACGGGGTGCTTACGTTGTTTGTCGGAATTTGAGTGGGTTCTTGGCGAGGTCCTTCCAGTTCAGGCAGCGCTGAAAAGAGTCGAGTTTTACACGTAGGGGTGTAGGAGGTTTTAAGTCATTTCAATCACCAAAAGGCACGAATTTCTTTTCCACCCAAAAGAACGCAGGGGGCTTCAACACGACTGCTGTTAGCGGCTCCTGGGAAGTTCTTCTTACGCACAAAGCAGGCATGAACGCTGCGCGATGCAACACGTTTTTTGTGGAGTGCTTTCCCCACAGCAGTCTAGCAAACTGGCGTTCCGTGCATTGACTTGTGTTCTACAGTCGCGTACGGCCGAGCGCTCGTGTTGATGTAGGCATCCCGATCCTCGATCTGCTCGCGACAACAACGTATTGCACGCAAAGTGTTCTGCTTCCATTGTTACAGGCTGCTATTTAGCTCAATGCCTGCACCCCATATGCCCGTCCTTCATCTCACCTCTCTTGCCTCCTCTCGACTCCCTGAACCGGCGTGCGGCCTGAATCCGCCAGCACGGCAGTCAAGAGACTTTAGAATGAAATTGCTGATGACCCCCCATGAATTCTTCTCTGTTGCTGGCGTGAGAGGATTTTCCCACACATTGTTGACAGATTTTTTCTCAGGGTGTTTCCGTCGGAACGAACGATTCTTGATGGTTGGCGCCACAGGTGCCCATGTCCACGTTCATGCAGCTAATGGAGGGGAAACGCGGCGCCGACGTCGTGGAAAGCGTCCGAGTGTCGAAGACCGGGACGATGTTCTTCAAGATGAACGGCAAGGAGGTAATTGGTGCCCGCTTCGGCCTTGTGGCACCGTCGATACACGCGCGAACAACACTTGTTGTTGTCTGGCGTGTCCTTGCTAGACGCTGCGGTCTCCCGTGTTGCTAGGCAGTGTACCTGGATAAAGTGTGTACATGTAGTTAACGGGAGGAGAGAGAGATGGATGAGGGACAAGGAAGACAAGAGAGGAAGAGAGACGGGTGTGACCTGTTGTGTTTCATCAGCCTGTGACCACGGACCGAAGCGTGTTACCCTTTTTTATCTATCGGTGCGAGCATTGCGGAAGAGTTGAGCGCCGCGTCGAAACGCCTAGGGCAGATTTTGCGGTGTGAAGCCGGGCAACCACATATGAGCAGCAACACACAGCAAGCAAGGCTCGAATGCTCAACGGTGCACATCCTGCCCCGCCCTCCGATCACAACGATCATCCCCACAGTGCTACACGTTGCCGTTGAGGGTAAGCAAGGAAGTCTTCAAGGCGCTCTGCAACAGCGGCATTCCCTTCAGGGCTTCCAAGTCGCCGCCGGGGCTTTCTTTCATCTTCCCGGTTGTCTACCTCCTGGCCGTCTACTACTTCATCGTCAAAAGGGGGTGAGTTTGGGTGTTGCTTCCTGATGTCCGGGGGGGGGGTGTTGGTGACTGTTATGCGTTGTCGGCAAGGGTGGATTTTGTGTTTGTTTCCTTCGTGTGAGGTGGGCGGGAGGTAGGCTCACCGCACTCGTAATTGTTCGTTCTTTTCAGTGCCGTTTCTACCAGTAGACCGCTGCTGCTGCGGTGCTTTTGAGAAGCACGTAGTGGAACGGTGCCCGTGGTCCGAGGAAAGGGTGATATCATCAAGCAATCCGGGCTCGATGGAGTGTAAACGTCGGCACCGCTACGGCGCGTTCTCAATTTTTCCAGCAATAGACCTTCCGATCGTCGAGTTCGCAACTAGCTAGTCGTTCTGGCACCAGCAGTGTCGTTGGTTCACACCTTGACTGACTAGTGTGGCCGTCTTGCCCTCGTTCCCATCTTCTTGAGACGTACCTAGGCGCAATGCCCAACGAATCGCTGACTGCCGTGCCGATTCGTTGACCCTTCCGAGCGCTGTTGGCACTCTTGCTCTTGTTTTGATAGCGTGAGATACGACGCTTCTATCGAATCGAATCTGAGCGTGCCCCACCCCGCTGACACGCTTGTCATGCTGTTGGCTATCCCGTGGCCGGCGCGCTGCTTGCACCCTGTTGCGGCGCTGCTGCGTCTCCTGGCGCATGGCCCGGACGCCAGGCAAGGGAGCATGGTCGGGTCCACGGGAAAACTTGCGTCGTCGACGGAGCTCGATACCTCTCTCACGTTTGGGGACGTGGCGGGGGTCGACCAGGCCAAGAGTCAAGTGCAGGTGAAAACGGAGTCTAACCTGTGGTGGTTTTTGTGCCGAAATGCGTCACCACACACGGGGTTAACACACCGTGTAGTGTGTGGGATATTGCACCGCTTTGCAAGTTGGCGCCATCAGGTGGCATGTGTTGTGGTGCCCCTGGTTCACTTCTTTTTACGCAGTACAGTAAATCTCGAGAACAAAACCAACGGTTGTGATTCGCCACCGTTACACTAGAGGCTGCATTGTGTCTACTATTACTATTACTACTGCTGCGCCTATTAAGACAAGGAGCTCGTTGCTTTTGACAAATGCCCTCGCGCGCGCCGACGCACATACACACATCACGACACAACAAACCATCCCCCCCCCCCACCGAATTTATCCGCCTGTTGTTGGATGGATGTACCTCGGTGGCAAACCCCTTCTGCGCCCGAAGGAGCTTGTGTCGATGATCAAGAACCCGGCGCCTTTTATTGCCGCGGGTGCTCGGTTACCGAGCGGTCTGTTGATGGTGGGACCGCCCGGGACGGGGAAAACGCTCATGGCTAGAGTCATGGCAGCGGAGGCAGGGGTTCCGGTGAGTAATTTTTTTTATGTTTGAGATGTTGGGTTTTCAATGGCCGGGGGGGGGGAGGGGGGGCAGTTTGTTTTTGTGCTGAGTTTCAGGTAGAACGGCCGAAGCAGAGATCATGTATGTAGAGCAGACCCAAAACGTGGAGCCCCGCGCTCACACCCTTGGCGGGGCATGCCAGCTTCCGCCCCCCAGGCGATTCCGAGGGGTGGGAGGTTATCTGCTAATTGGGAGATTGCCCAAGGTAAGAAACGAGATCAGGATAACGCAATTTCTTCCGAAATCGAGCTCAATCTTACTCCTTGCAGTTGTGCTTGATGCACAAGTAGTGTGCAAGGGCTGCGGGTAGGGGTTATGCTTCGAGCAGCAGCCGATGGCAACCCCGCTTCGGTCCGCTCTTGTTTCCATGGATTGTGCTTGGCCGACCGTGGCTGGCGTGTTCAAGTCTTGCCGCGGTAGGACGGACCCAACTTCGTCTCACGCCACCACCACCCACCGAATCCTTAACCCTTCTGTAATTTGCGTTCCGCTACTACTACTGTACGCAGTTTTACTACTGCTCCGGGTCCGACTTTGTTGAGATGTACGTTGGGCGCGGTGCGGCCAGGGTACGAAAGTTGTTCGTCAAGGCGGGCAAGACGGCGCCGTGCATCATCTTCTTGGATGAACTCGATGCCTTGGGCAAAGAGCGCTCCGGCACCGGAGGGCGACAGGTGCTTTACACTTCGTACATGTTAGTGGCGTGTTTCAAAAACCTTCCTTTTTTCTTCACCGGGGCGTGGGCCGTTGATTATTGGAAACAGTGCTTCGGAAGAAGACGAGCGCTGCGCCTCATGGTGGTACATATCGTGGAATGCCCCGTCAAACCTGTCTCGTTGGGGAGGGTTGTTTTTTCTCTTTTCGGAGAAAGGACGATACCGAGCAAAGGCATGATCGATAAGATGTACAATACCAATGTGTGGTAGATACACGCTTACAGTTTTGGCGCGGCATGTGCGGACAACGCGGGTCGTTTGGCATTGTTGCCATGGGCGTTCCGAAGCCAGTGGCGGCATTCCCCGGGCATCTTGCGACCGTCCCGAACGGCCTTCGGGCGGTACCACCCATTTCTCTCTCTCTCTCTCTCTCTCTCTCTCTCTCTCTCTCTCTCTCTCTCTCGTGCTCGTGCTCGTGCCTTGCCAGACTAACGACGAAGCGGAGCAGACCTTGAACCAGCTGCTGGCTTGCATGGACGGCCTCGACACCAACAACAACGGGGTCATGGTCATCGCCGCCACCAACCGCTACGACGTGCTCGACAACGCCCTCACCAGACCCGGCAGGTACTACTTTGTTGCTGTTGCTGGTGCTGAGCAGCCTGTGGGCTCTGTGTCCTCCCCGAGCGCGGAGCGAAACGCTTTCCATCGGCTCCGTTGCGGGTCTCTGGATCGCAGCTATCTAGCTTTTACGGGCACAAAATCTGTCACATCCTTGAGTTTTTCTTCCCGCATATCGTCGGTGGGTACCCGTACCGTACCTATCTTTCCGCGATACCTCCCTGCCCTCGCGGGAAAAACAATCGTTTAGGGGAACGAACAACCGCCCCTTTGACGAATGAAAGCGCCAAACCCACGCCACCCTGATTGTACTGACTTCTTCGCCTCCACGCCGTGTTGCTGCTGTTGTGACCGTGTTGGAAAACCCTGCATCATCAGGTTTGATCGCATCGTGCGGGTCGACGTGCCGGACGCGGCGGGCAGAGAAGCGATCCTGAAGGTCCACACGAGAAAAATGAAGCTCGAAGACGTTGACGTGCTACGGGCGGTGGCGGAGCTTACACCCGGTGAGCATTGTTGGAAAAAAAAGGGAAATGGACGAGAAGAGTGGGTACCACATATACCCACCCGCTTGTCAGACCAAAACAAGCAGCAACTCGGCGCTCTCCTTCGCGCAGACAACCTGCCTCGGTGAGGAGAGAAGCCCTTTAACCTGCGCCTGGAAAACACAGCCACGTACCGTACACGGCATGAGCATCAGCTTTTCCCAACTTTCCGGCACACGGTCTACCCAAGCACCGCAGCGGCGCGCAAGGCCTCAACAGGCTGCCCGAAATAATCCGATATCCAAATCCCGGTGGGTATATCCCACCGACTTCCTACATTCTAGTTTTTTCAAATTAACCCACTCCTGTTTTTGTTTTTTTTCCCACTCTTGTCCGAACTACTGTACCCACCTCTGTTGTCCTCCTCCGGGCCTCGAAAATCCAACATCCACGTCCACCGCTCTCGGCGGAGCATCGAATGTACCATAGTTAGCTTCGGAAAGTCTCAGCACCGTACCGTATCCATGACATGTTTCGCAACCAGCACAAGGACTGCGGAACGCGGCGGTACACCGTAATAAGACACCCCTTCGGTATCAACAGAAAACCACACTGCTGGCAACATTGCCCGGCACGCAGCAGCGCACATGCGGCACGCCACAAAAATGCTACACAGGACACGACGGAAAACGACCGACACCCCAACGGATGGCGCGCGATCGAGCAAGCAACAAAGAGACGAAGTCGGTCCTCTCTCTTCCCTCTCACACACACGCATATGCACACCGATTTGCTGTGATCTGGGTGCGGCTTGTCGAGGAAAATTTGCCCTGCAGCGCTGAGCGCCGGCTCAGAGGCTTGTCCGTCAATTTTTACTGGTGTCATGGTAATAGTAGGCCAACTTTTGCCTCATCCAAAGAGTTCGAGATGGCATTGTAGTAACCGTCCTGTCTAGGCGGCACTGCCTCCCGCCCGCGATCATCACCCGCTCAAATCTCATCTTGAACTCTTTTGGATGTGGCAATAGTTGGCCCACATCGCCAATTGACGGAAGCGCGCCAGCGTTTTTGCCCCTGAGCGGGCGCCGATCACGGGCGAGAGGCAGTGCCGCCTACACAGCAGGGTCGGTGGGCGATAGGGACAAGCTCCACAACCGCATCGGGAGCGGCCATTATCCGCAGCAAGGAGGCGTCCGGCTGCCCGGCATGCGGCCGAGCATGCAAGCAAGCGGACGGGGGCTGGAAGGTCGCGGAGGTCGAGGTACAGCGCGTTGCCTGCAAAGGGCGGGCCGGGCAGGAAAAACAGCCGGTACACCGGAGGTGTATGTAGAGCGTGTGGCCTCTCCACACACCTCCGGTTTGTCCGCTGTCTTTTTTTTCCCGGCCCGCCCTTTGCAGGCGATGTGCTGTAGCTCGACCTCCGTGGCCCTCCGGCTCTCGTGCGCTTGAGTGCATGCTCGTGCGCTTTCCGGGCATTTAGATGCCCCCTTGCCGCGGACGATGCCCCCCCCCGCTGCGGCGGTGGAGCTTACCCCTACCGCCACTTATCTGGGCGGCACTGCTTCCCGTCCGCGATGATCACCCGCTCAAATCCCATCTTGAACTCTTTGGATGTGGCAAAATTTGTCTCACAGCGCTAATTGACGGGGGTGCGCCAGCGGTTGCCCCTGAGCGGGCGCCAATCACGGGCGAGAGACAGTGGGTTGTGTGTGTGTGAGAGAGAGAGAGCTAAGTGCTTTGTTTGCTCGTGAGCTGGGAAATTTTTTGTCCTCATGTGTATGGTCCCTGTTCGTGTTGCCCAGGCGCCGGATTAAGATCTTGAGGGATTTGGAGTTCAGCCAGGTTGTCTGCGCGAAATGTGGTTATATCCGAGTACTATTTTTGTCTGGAAAAGGGGTGGGTGTACCCACCTTAGTCCTTTTTCCTGGGAAAACCCTTGGAATAGCCTCCGGGCCCGGGCGTGCTGAGGTAATCGGACGGGAAGGAACCGAAAAACGGTTGTCGCCACTAAGAGACTTGTCATCATGGAGTGACTTTCAGACAGAGCAGACAACAGGAGCCACTGAAGAAGAGGCACTGGCGTGGTTCCATCTGCTGTGACGGAGGGGGCTCCGCCGTATCACCGAGTCACAAGAACCCATACTTTTGAAATGACCCCCAGAATCTCCGTAGATCCGTATCGAGCGCCCGGTGTACGTTAACCAAGTGCGGTTGACGCAGCGCCGTCGGATGGACGAGGGTGCCGGGGCAACGGCAGTGGTCGCGTTTGAGTTGCGCGCGGGTATGTACCGCGACCTCCAGCTCTCAGTAGCATCCACCTCGAATGCAGGCCGGCCGAAAATCTTCTTGTGCTTTCAGCATACCATGTACTTCTACTTGCTGTAGCGCCGCGATATTCATGTGCGGCGCTTTCTACGATGCCTGCCCCTGTGCTAACGCCTTCGCTGCGATGTATTTGGGCGACGGTGGTGTACAACGACCGATGCTGATGGCAGGTCTTGCCGGGGCGGAGCTGGCCACGATCGCGAATGAGGCTGCCATCTCCGCCGCTCGTAGAGGGTCGCAGCAGTTGCTCGAGACAGACTTCTTGGTAAGACAGCCCCTCAACGCTCCCCGGAAAAAATAGGGGTTCCTTTCGATGTTGTCGTCGATGGATTATTATGTGGTACCGCCGCCGCCGCTGCCTGTTTTATGGCCTGTGCAATTAGTTGGAGGTGTGGAATCGTCGCGCTTGTGCTTAAACTTGTCTTAATTGTCTCGAGCCGTATTATTACTTGCCCGGTGTAGTAGTAGTGCCGATGTAGCGGGTCATACACGCGCTGGTGAGGGACCCCTCCATCGTCGTGTGTTTAGATGTGAGGAGGGTGTGCTGCCGCTCTCAAAAACTTCAGAAGCATTCCGCCGTGGCCGCCGTTGGAGATGTTGGCGTGTGGCGACTGCGTCTCATGCCACCACACGAGTGCTGCCTGCGACAGGAATGGATGTTGTCTTGTGCCTTATCAGCGCGTCCTTCTCCTGTCGACCATGCGCGTGATATCGTTCAGGAGAGATTCCACCGCATGCATGTTAGTGGGTGGTCGGTTTGGTGATGCTTCCTCGAACGATTCCCACCCGTCGTTCGCAAGTCGATCTTTGCTCCGAACCGGACCTAGACCTTGTGCCCCCCGGTTTTGCACCTACTTCTCCGCCATTTTCGACTCGATCCACAGCCACACCCCCACGCGTCTCACCAGCACCCTTTGCTTCCCCCGCCGTCTGCTCCTGACGATGCCTGCAACTTTCATCTCGCAGGAGTCCGTTACAAACTTTTACGTCTCCCGAAAGAAGGGCGTTGCCGGCCTGCAGAACATGTTCAAGGGCATGCTGACATAGACCAGGATTATAGAGAAGAGGTGTTTCTTTCGCTGTAGAAATACGATGGACACGCCGAGGGATGTTAGAGTTCAAGTTTTGTCGACTCGGCGGGGGTCTTCTATTGCTGAGGCATCGCCTATTTTTTTTTTGTTTGGCGCGGGTGATGGAGCCCGGCGAGCATCTCCTACGAAGGGGTTGAGCCTTGGTAAATTTCGTGTTGAGGATAGGCGTTCGTGTGGTCGCTTTTCGATTGCAAATGACGTGGCAAGTATTCATGACGTTATCGTTTCGGAAGCTGTGTTCGGTTGTAAGGTCGGTCGTTAATTTCCCGCAGACCCTGTTCTTTGATGGTGCCACTCTTTCTGGCTCAAGAAGAGGTTCGGTGTTCGCGCTCAGCCTCGTGCTCCGCCGCTTTTGCTGCGACGGAAGTGATGCCTCACGCAAGCTGGCTATTTCTCTTGCTCATGGCTGCGAGCGCCCAGCGGCATGGGAGTATCAAGTACATCAATCTCACCATCACATTGTTTGTCCTCTTCAGTTCGCTCACCTCACTAATAAACACGTGTACTTTAAACTTTGAACCGGTCGCGTAGACCGGCACGACCAACACCCGGCACTATTTTGCTTGGAATCAACATGCTTGATACGAACGAACGGTGTGCCTCCTCACCCTAAGTTTCTTCCGAGGAGGAAACAAGGCGGGATTCAGAGTCTGGCCGGGGCTGCACACGGCCTGTAACGGCGTATCTACCGGTACATTGTTGTTGTTGTTGTTGTTGTTGTTGTTGTCTTCACATTAAAAACCGTTCCGATCTCTCTCTACCCAGTACCTTCGTACGTCCGTACTGATCCAACACTCGACGCGGTCGATTCCCGTGGTCACAGGTTAACTTACCCTAAAAAGGTGCACTCAAATAAACTGGCCCCGAGGGGTCCGCAAGTCAATAGAAATCAACGACAGATATTCTGGAATCCTCCACTCCCTCTTCGCGTTATGCGAGGTATCAACTGAGACTAGCAGTCACTATCTATCATGGGCCGGAGAGAAAGAGGTACACCCCCTTGGTTCAATCTTGGTACTTCACAACGCAAGCAGAGACAAGGCCATCTGGCACAGAAAAAGAGAGAAAAAAAGATACATGCTTGCCAGACATCAGTCTTTCCACGGTAAAAAATACTGCTGTATGAAAAGCCTCTCACACCGCGTAGAGGATACTGTGTGAACGAAAACGGGAATGGATGTGGTCATCATCTCTCCGGCCAGAGGCTATCAAAGCAACAACAGGATACATGAGGAGCTGTAGGTCACTCGGTGTATACTTCAATATCTTCGGAAACCTGAAGATACCACCCACGCCCGATACTCTCAATGTTTTTTTTTTTTTCATGCTTCGATTTTTTTTTTTTGCATCTCGATTGCCTCCGTTGCAGCTTCCCCCTTTCCCTGTCTCACACACTACACAGTACAGGACTCCTCCTCTGATTGACCATGGCTAGCGTAAAGGCAACGGGCATGATGATGCGGGTTGCGGGCCGAACAGTCCGACCGTCGACGACGGCGGCCCTCGCCAGCGCGCAGACCCGTGGGATCGCGAGGACAGCAACGGCTCTGAGCGCCAAGAAGATTGCGGTCAAGAACCCGGTGGTCGACCTCGACGGGGATGAGATGACCCGTATCATCTGGTAAGTGGAGAGGACCGGATTGTTGCAGCAAAGCTAGCGCGCCTGCGGCTTCTTGGAGCCAAGACGCCGCGCATGTTTTGTCAGCTCACGACGATTGCCAGCAGGCTTGGTCCGTAGGACTTTCTCCGGGAAAGTGTTGCAGATTCTGATCGAGCTTCGATCTCTGCTCATATATGCGCGCTTCCAAAATGGGCGGTTTTGGTCGTTGCAGACCAGAGCGCCAACGAAGCCACCGCTGCTGCACCTGGGGCGGGCCGATAGCAACGCCTTCCGGATCACGCATATCTGTCTTGTTGGGTGTCTTGCGGAAGGGAGGGCTCCTGCCGTGCGGGTTAGCGAGCTTGTCCGTTGGTCGTTCGCCGGTTTATCCGGCCAACCAGCTGTTTGAAGTTGGTGCCTGGTTTGAGGCCCTTCGGAAGCGTGTGCCTGCCCGTTCGTGCTTTTGCCCGGAGAAAGCTTCAACATTCTCCAGCGGCAGCCGCGGTATGCGAGGCATACATACCCTTGCGTGCAGCCTGTAATAGTGCGTTGTAGAGCCGTCGTCGCAAGCGTCAAGAAGAGGGGTGTGGATCCGTGGCGCCGCTTGTTCCGGGCATGCGGTCTTCGGTTGGGGTGGCATAAAAAAGCTCGTTTTTGAGGAGCAACAACTTCGGAGGAAGTGCAACTACGTGGCCGACACCTCATGCATTTACCATATGAATCCCTCGAGCAGATATTATAGTCTTCTGTTGACGCACGGGTGGCATGATGCAGAATAGTAAGTAGCGTCAATCCCCCAAGGGTTTGTGAGGCGGTCCCTGTTCTCGATGAGAGGAAACTAGGCGTGGATCTCCCGTGCACATGAAGTTGCGGTTCCGACGACGTGTTGCCTAGAGCCACAAGAAGAGCCCAGAGCCTGAAGGGCTGAAAGTGTCGGTCCGATAGATGGCGTTGCAAAGTGGAAGGTTGCAGCACTTGCGTGCAATCCGCCAGTGCCCCGGTTATCTCCCAAAGCTATGGGGCATGGACGCAAGTACTGGCTGCTTTCCAGCACCGGTGGCATGCCGAACCCAACCAATCAGTACCCACCAACAACATGCAGTTCATGCATGCAATGCTACACTGCTGTACGTAGCGGTCGAATGTTCCGCATCTTGCCGACTAGGGCATGTCGAACAACAAGCCTGCTGTGTTTGGTTCATTTCAGCGCAGATATCGGGACTGTAGATGAATCAGCAGCGAAGGGTAGCATCGTACAAGATGAATTGTGGCAGTGCAGTCGTGTGCAACATCTTTCCTCATACTTTACCATGCCTTCCCTGCATGATGCATTTGCACTGCTGTTAAGACTGACTGACATGTACTGGCATGTGGTATGTTCATGTACAGTAGTAGCAAGAGCAGGTTGCAGAAGCAGACGCTGAATTCGTGTTGATAGGTCCTCATTCAGATACCATTTCAGCGATGTGTGGCTCTTTGCTCGCCGCAATATGATTACCTTGGCGTCATACGAGAAAGTCCAGCTTAACTTTAGCCTTGGTGGGTATCTTGCGGTCCTCGACGATTCTCCGAAAACACGTGTCTTAATACTGACATATTTACCGCGTTCGATGTCCAGTCTATGTATGCAAAAGGGTTTCAGGAGTTCAGGAGACCCTCTCCTGTGACTCGCTTGCCCCGTTTCCTCTAGTGAACACTTTAAGCTCCGAGGCTGATAACAAACGTATTCTCGTATTTTGACCATGCGTTCTTTCTCTGCTGCGTGCCTGCGTTTCCGGGCGCGTTACTCGAAACAGGGACCACATCAAGAGCAAGCTCATCCTGCCGTACGTGGACCTGGACATCGAGTACTTCGACCTGGGATTGCCCAGCCGTGATGCCACCGACGACCAGATCACCATCGACGCCGCGCACGCCATCTTGGTAAGGAGAAGTACCATGCCCTATCATACACCCCATCTAGTCTAATGGATGATATTGCTTGTGCCTGTTCTCGTGGCAAGGGGAAACACGAACCCAGCCAGCCATCGGTGGTTCGAAATTGTCTTTCTTGAAGACGAGGGCAGCAAGTGTTCAATGTGGTGCCGTGGGTGGCTTATTGTACTTCCCCGCTTGAGTCTCCAGATATCAAACGCGCTAAGTTTGTTTGTAGTACAGCCGTAGTAGCTTTGGGCTTCTGTTCTTTATCCTGTACCCTTGATTTGGCCCAGGTGGCGTCGTCGCCTCGAAGCATCTGTACTCGTAGATGGCATGGATTGGGTCTGACCTACAGCAGTAGAGCCTTGCATGCATACATACCATATCAGCAGTACTCTTCGCTTCTGACCCCGGCTTGCGCCGTATATCCTCTCATCGTGTCCTCTTTGCCGAACGCCTGATTGGCCGAACGATGATGCTGTGGCATGACTGCGATGCGTCGTCACCCTGTGATACCGGTGGCGGGCGTGCCCAGGAACACAACGTCGGCATCAAGTGCGCGACTATCACCCCCGACGAGCAGCGAATGGACGGTGAGAACGAGTTTAATCTACAGACGTGATCATTTCAAAAGCACGAGGTGGACGTTTTCGAATTCCCTGCCGCTTTGTCTGTCGTGGGTAGAAAGATTCCCTGCCTGAAGACCGGAGAGAAGACCGGAGAGGGGGGGGGGGGGGGGGGGGGGGGGG